CAATTACCAAAATCCTCAAAAATAATTGTATCTGACTCAATTATTTTATATGTTTTAATAGTGACTCAATTAATTGCGTCAAATAATTGCATCAATTGCATCAAGGATCTACCAATTTCTATCACATGTATAGTGATGACTATATTCCAATCTAAACATGCCATTGTATGAATCATATGCCTCTTTTGCTGTCATTGTTAATCCCTCTTATGTTGATTGTAACAACTTTGAATAATAATAAGTTGGTGGTGTGTCATGAGTTTATGTTTGATTGATTTGTTTTATTGCTTTACTCTTTTGTTCTTTGTGGTTCGTTGTTGTGTTCATGCTCTTCTGAGACTTGTTTTCTTATGCTTGGTTTGTTACTTATTGTTGACAAATAGTTAAATTGAAGAGACTGTTTTGATTTGAAAAATTGTTACTAAAGAGTTCAATAAACTGTGCCATCATTTCTTTCATTTTGTTGAGTTTTTTATTGATCAGGCTTTGAGTTGTTTTGATGTCTTCTGTCTCGATTATTTTTCTGTTGTAAAAATTATGGAGTCAGAGATGGATTCAATGTCTTCTTCCATTTCATCCATGTGTCTATGTGCTACATTTTCCTCTAATGTGCTAACTCTTTTCTCTAGTTAATTTATCTGATATTGTACTTCTGTTATTGTTTTTTGTATATGATGGATAAGAGCAAGGAGCTCACCATTTGAAGGGTGGTATATGTTAGTCCCTCTTTTGGATCTGTTATACCTGTACTGGTTTTTGTTGTTGTAGTAAGTTTCCTCTTGATATGTGGAGAATCTGTCTCTAGAATGTGTTCTGTGTCTTGTGTGAGAGTTGTTCAAAGGTTTAACATTACAGTTTGTAATCATATGTTGGGTGTCCCCACAGTAGTGGCAAAGTTTCACTATTCTAGCCACCCATGTGAGCTTGTGTCCTTTGAAATCGATGTTATTTGCTGTTGCTTTGGTAAGGTCTTCATGGGAGATGAAATTCAAACTTGCAAATCTTCTAAACATTTTATTTGTTTATAAAGTATGACATGCTTTGGTGCTGACTTATTGCATGATGTTACTGAGGTCTTGAACTGTCATCAAGTCTGAAAACTTAGTTAGTGTAATACTGAATTTGTCTCTTTCTAGTCTTGTTTCTCTTGTATGGTAGTATATGAATATTCTCATTGTTATACCCTCTATCATTACTGATCTATTGTTTATAGCTGTGTCGTTACTACCGCTAACTTGTGTAGTCCTGTTGTATGCATCTTGATGTATTCAATAAGATCAAATTTAATAAATCCTATTGCAATATCTTTCTTGGAAATATCCCAGATTCTGACTAATTTGCAATTAATTTTGTAGGTGCTAAGTGTCGGTACTAATCTTGGTTTGGAGTTTTTGCACTTCAAGATTGGATGTATACATGCTTTCTTAGCATCTGTATAGTTACTGAAAATAGCCATGATGTTTGGTTCTTCTGTTGGCTCTTCCACTTTGACATGTTTGAAAGAGGGCATACTTGCCATTTTCTCTCATATAAATTGAATTTTTTCTGGTTGTCTTTTCCAGGTACTTGGTCGAGTATAAAGAAAATTTTACCACTGTGAAATGTATTTACAATTTTGTTGTTATTATTGATATTGACATTGCTGCTGATGTTATTAATGCTATTGTTGTTGTCCTGAACTGATGTATCTATTTCTTTTTCTTTCTTGATGTAGGTAAAAGTTCTATTTTCTTCTTTTTTTTTTTTCCTCTTCTATTTTTCTGTATGCTTTAGTTTGTTGTTGGTCTTGTTTCTAAATACTTCTGGCTGTTGATTTGACTACTCTCAGTATCTGAAAGGATTTCTTTTATGCTGATGTCAGTTATATTTGCTTTTAGCACACTTATGGACTTTTGGTATTTGGGTTTGAAAGATTTATTTTCTGTTATATCTGCTTTTCTGCTGTTAATTGGCATTGGTCTCTTGAATGGAGTGGTTTTCTTGACAGTTGTTGTTTTTTTAACAATTTTTCCATTGTTTCTTGCAACTAAGATATTATTATATTTGGGTGTTGTGTCTCTGAAAGAGCTGTGCAGAGTGTGCTGGTTAGACATATTATTTTGAATTTTCTAATTTAGTAATTTAATAACAGTGAAAAAG